GGCCAATCAATCCCAATAGCACACGCTCTTCTGCAAAGAGAGGAGCATGTGGCGTTGAGGCAACACGGCGTTGATGACGGACATCAGCCATCAACTGATGTCTGTCAGCCGCGTGCTTCGAAGTTCAGTTGAGTCATGTCACGGTAGTAGAGTACGGTAACCTTGCAGAACAGCTGTCTGTGCGCATGCACGCACACTCGGCGCAACTCGCACGCAGTAGCAGCGATATGCCATCAGTCTGCTACGCTCGTTGTGTGCTTGGGTCGCCGCAGTGTGTCCACAGTGTGTCCTGCTTGTTGTTTTGACCTCAGATCAGACGAGACTACCCGCTGAATTTAAGCATATTAATAAGCGGAGGAAAAGAAACTAACAAGGATTCCCCCAGTAACGGCGAGTGAAGCGGGAATTGCTCAAGCTGGAAATCTCTGTTGCTTGCAACAGCGAATTGTAGTCTCGAGAAGCGTCTTCAAAACGGATCTACCCTGCCAAAGTTGCTTGGAAGAGCGCATCGGAGAGGGTGACAATCCCGTGCGAGGCAGGCAGACCGTTCGTGATGCGCTTTCGATGAGTCGGGTTGCTTGGGAATGCAGCCCAAAATTGGTGGTAGACTCCATCTAAAGCTAAATATTGGCACGAGACCGATAGCGAACAAGTACCGTGAGGGAAAGATGAAAAGAACTTTGAAAAGAGAGTTAAAAAGTGCGTGAAACCGTTGGAGGGGAAACGGATGCAGTTAGCAACGCTGCTGCGAGATTCAGACGGTAGCCTGGTTAGACGGTCAGTTGGCGGATCTGAATGGACTGCTGCTGGGTGGCCTGGCCTTGCGCCGTCGCACTTCTCGTAGTAGTGTGTCAACAACTGCCAGCCGTGCACTATACGGCCCGATGGAAGGTAGGCACCCGGTTCGCCGGGTGTTGTTATAGACTTCGGTGCTCCAGTGCATGTGCTGGCAGAGGCGAGCGGTGCAACTCTGCCATTGGTAGGGTTGGCGTCCTGTTGCTCTCTCGTAGTCGGTGGGAGCCCACTGCGTGCAGTGCGCATTTGCCGGTGAAAAGGGGTACAATCAACGCACATCTTGCACCATGGTTGTTGGCGGCCAAATGGCTTTATCCGACCCGTCTTGAAACACGGACCAAGGAGTCTAACATGTGCGCAAGTCTTGGGGTGACCGAAACCCAGAGGCGCAATGAAAGTAAAGGCTGCCTGGCAGCTGAGGTGAGATCTTTGCTCCACGCGAGTGAAGCGCATCATCGACCGACCTGTTCTACTCTTAGAAGGGTTTGAGTAAGAGCGTGCATGCTGGGACCCGAAAGATGGTGAACTATGCTTGAGTAGGGTGAAGCCAGAGGAAACTCTGGTGGAAGCTCGTAGCGATTCTGACGTGCAAATCGATCGTCGAACTTGAGTATAGGGGCGAAAGACTAA